TCCTTCCTTCCTTCCTTCCTTCCTTCCTTCCTTCCTTCCTTCCTTCCTTCCTTCCTTCCTTCCTTCCTTCCTTCCTTCCTTCCTTTTCCTGCCAAGCATTCCCAAATGCCACCCCAGGATCTCAGATGTGCCTTTCATCTATGGTCCGTGGGAGGAATTTCTTTCCTCTCTGTTCAGAAAAAATCTGTTCATGTGTTGAAGAAAGAACAGTTTGAGGTTCCTGTCAAGCTTCAGGTGACTAACTTTGGGTTCAGCTCTTCCTAAGTACAATCACAACTCTAGCAAGTCTCAGGGCTCTGTCAAATCACTGATTTTCTTTCCTGTGAGCTTCAACATAACTACASATGTGCTTTCAAAACAGACTATCGAACCATGCTTTCCTTTTAATCATCTGGTCTCTGTGCTTTTGTTTTACACACCTGCCCCATTTTCTCTCTCTTTCTAAAATTTTCATATCTTCCTCTCTGCCTGGCAAAGTACTCTGCACCCTCTAGTCCCTTTTCCCTTGTATTTTGTAGCTTTGTGGTATGGAAACTACTTCTGAAATAATTACAGAGAGCCTGGACACAGAGTTCCTGGGAAGTGCTATTTTATTACAACATCCCTGCTCACACAATCCAGTACTGAATGACAGAGACAACAGTGCCAGGTCTGGTTAATTCTGAGTAAACACCCCAAACTTCATCTATTTCCTATGCATTTGTTCTGGTGGGGAAAGAGCATTAACCAAAAGGTACCACAAGCTCACAAGTATGATTCGCTGCCTGTGTTATTCTACTAAGCATGCAAAGGGGATACTTATAATAGGGATATGAATAACTTTCCCAGAAAACCAGACCATTTCCATGTAGTCTGCCACTSGGAGCAGAAGCCCGCTGCTGCAATGTTTGAGGCTGGACAAGAGCATCCCAAGCCTGAAGCTTGCTGCAGAAACACAGTCACTCCATGAGGAGCTTGGGAGCAGCCAGCTAAGGAGGTCCCAACTGAGAGGGACCCCACCCTGGACAGCCAGCATACAGAGAGAGCAGTGCAGTGCCAGGGCTCTCTGTGGGAGGGGGTGCACCCTCGAAAAGCGGGTGCATCCTGCCAGGGCATTTCCCTCTCTTGTCCCACTCACCTTGTGCTTCTGGTACCTAAGCTTTTGTGGAAATTTCTGTTAGGCAAGTGTTTCACTCCCAGTCCAATTTAGTAGCAATTGATAAAAGAAAAGTCATTATCAGGAGACTGCAGGCACTTAGAAGCAGCTCCACAGCCACGTATCAATGTGATAAAGCTTCTTTTCCCCCTCGGTCTACATACATTTACAAAGATAACTGTTCATAATAACTTGTCCAAACCCCCACAAAATAACAGCTGTTCTTTCATGACAACTGAACATTTTAATGACTTCCCCAGCAAAAGCAACCTAACCCAAGCCTTGCAGACAACTGCTCTCCCCACAGAATATGAAGACAATAGAAAAAGAAAACCTAATGTGTATGCAGTGAGACAGATTTTTTTCTGTCTTCAAACTTTTAAAAATTTTATTCAGTGACTCAGATTCAGATTGTTTAATGGAGAACTGGTCATACTTTTAAAACCCAGAGAAGACTTGGGTTCCACTCTGCTGTCCTGAGATCTCTGAGCTGGCAGTTAAATTCTGTTGAATTGATCTGGACAGGTTGGATTGATGGGCTGAGAACAGTTGTATGAGGCTCAATGAGGCTAAGTGCTGGGTCCTGCACTTGGGTCACAACAACCCCATGCTGTGCTACAGATTCAGGCAACAGTGGCTGGAAAGCCACCCAGCAGAAAAGGACCCGGGGGTGCTGGTTGACAGCAGCTGAATATGAGTCAGAATGCCCAGGTGGCCAAAAGGCAATGTCGTCCTGGTCTGCATCAGCAGTAGTGTGGCCAGCAGGACCAGGGCAGTGATTGCACCCCTGTACTTGGCACTGATGAAGCACCTCAAATTCTGTGTCAATTTTTGGGCCCCTCACTAGAAGGACATTGAGGTGCTGGAGTGAGTCCAGAGAAGGGCAATGGAGCTGGTGCAGGGTCTGGAGCACAAGTTAGGAATGGCTGAGGGAGATGGGGGTGTTTAGTCTGGAGAAAAGAAGGCTCGGGGGGACAGTATCACTCTCTACAACTGCCTGAAAGGAGAAGTTAACAGAGAACCAGGGGCAGGCATGGGCATACCACCAGTGATGTTCCTGTAAGCACAGTCCCACTTCATCAATTCTGGTACAGAGTTACACCACTAGAGCCAATAAAGTAACAAGTAAAATGCACAGATGCGATGATCCTCTAGAGAAAACTGTGATGCAGCTTCTTCTAGCTTTTCGTCACAACTAGCCTCCTTCTGAAATTGTACAGTTGAAGTTTGCATTTAAAATCTTTTGGAGCAGAATTAGTGAGTTGGTTCTTGACTTGTAGTGCAGCATTATGCAGCACTTAGTCCTGGGCATAGTCCAGCACATTCAGTGATGGGTCTTGCTTGTGGCAAGATGGGTTAACTTGGCACATTATTTGCACACGCAGTACACAATGTGACACAGTGGAGACACACTGCTACCGTTTACCAAACATCTATCCCAAGGAAGGGATCTGGGATATCGTAAGTTTTACAGCTGCAGAGGACTTGTTGCTAACGTAAGAGACCTTATTTGATCATGAGGGTCAGGCCAAAAGGGTTAAGCCCAGAGCTGTGCAGAGCAGATGCCTTCCTAAGGGAAATTAGTGAAACTGCCCAGGGAAGTCCTCTTCATGATTACAGGACCAGTTACTAAAAACATATGAGTCTTTTTCCAAGGCTGTTCAGACGGGTGGGTGACTTTCTTTGCATCTGTYTTGCATTTTTTTTGCATTACATCTTGCGAGACTCTGTTTCGTAAAATCTCGTATAAGGAAACCATTTTAAAATGGCTTAGGCTATCTGGGAGTTTTACCCATTACTGCACCCAAGAAGTGCTCCTCTGCAGACCTTGGTGTTATGATTTTTAGAAAATACTAGAAATGGCACAGAACACATGCAGTGAACAATATGTAATAAAGTAAACCCACAGTTTTACTGGCAATTTACTCCAGCTTTTCCTATTGAGTTATCATCTTTCACAAGTTGCACATCATTGTCCTTTTATGGTGCCTGCTTGCTCTGTTAAAAAAAAATAAAGGTATCCTAAATACAAACAGTTAAGAAACACCACATGCCCTAACAAATGTCCATCCTTTTGTGACTCTGCTGAAATTCCCTTAGGAAAGAATGCCTCAAAAAGTGCAGGGGTACGGCCTCAGAAGCCAGTGGTGTACTCGTTCCTTGTGCTGGCACTTGTCTCTGTGTAGCCCCCAGCGTCTTTTGTTACCGTGAAAGCCCTTTCTGCAGCTCGGCGTGGCAGCAGCAGCTTGCAGGCTGCTGCCCTGTACTTCTTCGAAACGAGGTTGTAGAGGACAGGGTTGATGGATGCGCTCAGGTAGAAAAGCTGCAGAGCGAATACATTAAAGTACTGGGAGAACAGCATCGTCCTCATATCCCGAGTGTTTATAAATATGATCCTGCCAATGTGGAAAGGCAACCAGCAAATTACAAAGGCCAGAACCACCACAGCTATAAGACAAAATAACACATGCGGCAGTTAAGGAGTGAGTTAACTTTTCAACCATTCAGTAAACTGAATTTTACATGGCTGATTTTGCAGGTTCTTCTAACTCATACAAATGATATACAGAAATAATGGCATTAAGCTGTTGGAAAACTGTGACAACGGGAATAGCATCAAGTCTGACTGTTAGTCTTTGAAGTAAAAGGTAACTGGTAAAATCTAAAGTTAAACCGTGTGATGAGACTTATTGAGAAAAATGTAAACAACAGTGGCATAATATCCATATAGTAACATCAGGCACTACAGAAATCCCCCTTGGCAATGTCTGTAACGCCACATATGTGATAGGAAAACAAAAGTCAGAATAAAGAGTTTTTGTGGAAGCTCCAGAGCAGCTTCATTCGCTGCAGACTTGTGGTTTAACATGTCTACATSACAGGAAAAGACCAGGGCTGCACCTCAGTCACCGAAGCTTCACAGAATTCTCTCTATTGTGACAGTATGGTGTCTAACATAAAGATTTTACAGTGCTGTTGGGCTACTGATTTTTTCCACTAAAGCTTTTACACATCCTCMGACAATTACTGCTGGTGACAGCTATTTGACTAGATGGATCTCTAGCCTGAATCTATTCAGCTGTTTACCTGGTTCTGTGTTGCATTTTAGTACAGTGCAAATACAAACCTTCTTGACACAGGAACACAGCAGGAGAAGATGAGGAACAATTAAAGAAGTGTATTACTATATCCATACTTTTAATTACTTTTGTTTATAAATGCATGTAAGTAAAACAAACAATCATTTGTGGGACATCCTCCATGTTCCTTAGAGCTTAAAAAAAAAGGGATGAAGCCAAAGAAAGTTTACGCCTGAAATACACTACATATAAAGCAGAGCTGGATCTTCGAGATAAGGGGGCATTGGTCTCATTCAGTGGGTTGAAATCATGGACATAGGTACTCCTGTTGGAAAACCTTGTGCCTACTTTAGTGTAAGTTCCTTCCTCAAATAAATCAGCAAAATTGTCTCAGACTTATTAGTTTCTTTCCTTTGTGCTATGCTATTTCCCTCGAGCTGATAAACCTCTCATTAGATTTCCCACATGACATGTAAAAACTACAATAAAGGTAGGAAAAAAAAAAATTGGGGCATTTTGTTTTATCTTCTTTAGTCAATTGTTGGATTTCCTTTTTCTTTCCCTTCAGATTGGTCACTACTTACAAACTTTAAAGCCCCAGAGCAGACTAAGATCTCTAACTTTCCAGAGTCTGATGCTGGGTTAGTGAATGTATGACTAAGAAAATGAACTAAAAATTATCAGCATCTTACATCTGTAGGAAGTGCTTCGGTATTACGGGATTTATCTTCAAAAGCTCGCAGGGTTAAGTGGCTATTTTTTCAGCCTCCTTGGGCAACCAGTCGATTTACTCCTAGGAGAACTACAAATGACCGCTAAGAACTCACTTTTCAGAGGCAGAAATTTTCTATGCAAAGGTGTTGCTGCCCACTGGAAGAGACTGCTGATGTTTTTCTGAAGTTGCAGGCTACCTTCTATTTGGATCTCCCCGGTAAAATTCAGAAAAATGGTATTTCTAAGGAGGGCAGTCGTGCTGCTGGATCTGCGACGCCGCGCGGGTAAAGCCTCAGCTGTGAGGGAGTGAAATCCCTGCCGTGGCAGCTCCCAGGAGTACTGATGGGCTCGGCAGAGCGGCTGGGATGTCCCCCTGTGCTATTCCCTATCCTGTACGGAAGCTGCGGGTGCTTCAGTCCTGCCATGGCCCTCCAGCCCCGGTCCTTGCCCCAGCCATAGCCCGATGGGGATGGTAGCGGGACTCACCCAGGATCCTGATTGTCTGGTGGTGCCTGTTCTCCCGGCGGAGCGAGCTGGGGCCCCGCCGGCGGGTATTGCTGTGCCACAGCTCGCGGCCGATGAAGCCATAGAGAACGCTGAGGCAGGTGACGGGCAGGACGAAGTAGCARGTGGTGACCCAGAACATGGTGGCCAGCAGGCCTGACTGCAGGGCCTGCGGGGTGGGCTTGCACTCGCGGCTGAAGTCAGTGTGGTTGTCGGGCTGCTCCACGCCGACCAGGAAGAAGAAGGGGCTGGCGGAGAGGAAGGCAAAGACCCAGAGGACGCCGATGATGGCCTTCACCCGGCGCTTGGTGACGACCACCTTGGCCTTGAGGGGGAAGCAGATGGCGAGGTAGCGCTCCACGGTGAGGGCGGTGATGTGGAGGATAGTGCAGTAAGTGCACCCCTCACTGAGRTAGTGCGAGAGGCGGCACAGCAGCTGCCCGAAGATCCAAGGCCGGGAGCGCCAGAGGCGGTAGAGATCGAAGGGCAGCCCCACGAGGATGAGCAGGTCCGAGACCGCCATGCTACCCAGGTAAAGGTTGGTGGTGGTCTTCATGTCGCGGTAACTGCGGATGACCAGCACCGTGAGCACATTGCCCGCCACGCCGACCACGAAGAGCCCCAAGCAGACGGCCGTGATGGGAACGAGCACCCACATGGGCAGCGCCAGGCACAGCCGCTCGTCGCAAGGCGGCCACGGCCATGGCCACTCCGGCTCGCCCTCGCTGCCGTTCCCGCCGCCGCGCCACATCCCGCCGGGGGACACGTCGTGCCCGGGGCAGCGCCGCTCCTTCCTCCGGCCCGGCCCCGCCCCGCCCGCGCCTCCACCGCCCGCGCAGGTACCGCGYCCCCGCCCCGCCCCGCGGGCCCGACCGAGAGACAGAGGCAGGGGAGGAGAGAGGGAGGGYAGAGGGGCGGCGGCGGTGCGCGCACAGGACTGACCACCAACAGCGAAAAAGAAGGTACTTTTATTGTCCACTGACTCTTAAAGGTATTTTGCTACATCGTTTTATATATTTTCTATCAGACTATACAGGTTCGTCTTCATGGAGCCTGACGTTGTACAACCGTAAAGTGATATGTTTGGTAGTGTATCTATAGCGTTTTAAAAACTTTAGAGTTTCTCTTTTTCTTTTATTTATTTATTTTTGGAATGTACAGTATATGAGGTAAAATAAAGATTACAATAAAAACTGTCTCCAATGCAGTAATATGCACTGAGGCTCAAATGGCAAATACACTATTAAATGATTATCAAAAATAGGAGCTCATTTGAATTTTACTATGAAAAACATAAGTCACTGCAGGTTACCTGCAGTAACAATCTTACCATTTTAGACATTCAACCRTAAGAAATCTCTGGGCTGTGACATGCAACCTCATTTGCACTGCCAAACATGGCACTTTTAAGAAGGTTCTAGAAAACATCAGTTATCGTGGTATCCTGTGGGAAGGTATCAGCCTATACGTACAAACGACAAATTCGAAATAAAATATAAACATACAGTACATTTTAAAGACAGATCGTTCTTGGAGGCCAAGTTCTTCGCCATTTCTTTTTTTTTTTCTTAAAAAAAAAAACAAAACTCAGCAACATTATTTTACAGCACAGATCATTGGACATATAAACAATTACAATACATGCCCGTTCTAATATAAGAGAAATTCTTCAGAGATCTTCAAAGCACAAGACAGAGGTTCCTTTTTTATTATTATTAAGACTGACAGAAGTGTTTAATACTTTTAAAAATGCTAAACTGAACACAAGTAGAAGTCATTAATGATCCACTATCTTGTAACTCAAATAAATTAAAAGTAGCTAATTACAAAGTGTATAACAAATAAGTGTGATGAGACAAGGATTTTTTTTAAAGATAGTTTCACTACTAGCTTTGTGTGACTGGCAGTCATTGACATCTAGCAAGATGTTCAATGGGATACTTGTTAAAATTCAGTCTGGTCATTCAAGAACTCACAAATGCAAGCTCACAAAACATTGATGAGTTATGCAATTGCAAGGTGCTCTAATGCAACATTAACTACATGCAATCAACAATTTGGTACAGTATCCAAAGAGACATTACATTAAACATTAGGATCTCAAGAAAAAAAGCAGCTTTAAGTTTTCTGGTGCAAATTACTACACTTCGTCTTCTGATTTGGTGCCCCAAAGAAAGAAAGAAAGGAAGGGAAAAAGAAAGAAAACAAACAAAAAAGGCAGTGCTTATTTCTGGCGGATATGGCAAGTCAATGCTGGGGAAACAGCAAAAATTCAATAATGAATTTTATCTCAAAATTCTATKTAACTAGCCAAAATCTGAGGGCACAGACATCTGAATAAACTGCATCCAATCAAAGGTCAACTTCAGTAATGTGTTTTTCAATTTAAATAATAAATCTAATAAGTTCTCTCACGCTCCCCCTTCTGTATTCAGAAGTAAAAGAGGCATTTTTGTAAGTAAACATCAAATCCTGGGGGTAAGATAAACCACTTGTGCCATCTCCTTGTAGTCTTTCGAAAACATCTACTTGCAGTGAAGAACTCCACATTTATCAGATAAGAAGCTTCCTTCATGCATTCTCTTCCATCCAGTTTATTATTTGCTGCCTGAGAAAAGCCCCTTCTGTTTTTCAGCATAAATCCTGCTTCCCAAATAATTAAGACAAATGAGGAGGTAGAAATACAGCGCTAAATTGCTTTCACAGCATCAGATTAATATTGTGTACAGCACAAGTTTGTTAGTTTAAGTTCTAAATGAGATCTACACATTCTTCCCTGTTATGGTAGCAACCCTTAGAAGTATGGGCCAGGAAATCATCTTTACACCTGTGTTTACTGGTCAAACCCTTTTTGTTAAACACTGCGTGACTGTCCCATATCGAGTTTTTACTGCAAGAAGGCATATAAAGAAAAGATTATATTTCTGTGACTTGCATTTTAGTAACATGTGTCAGCCTATACCTATGAGTAAGCATTTCAAAGTGGCTGAGAAAGTTTGCATCAGTCCCAATGCCGGTGCTAAATGCCTGGTTTTATAAAAGCAAGAGAACAGAATTACTTTTAGATTATGAGAAAGTAAAATGTAATGGGCAGCATTATAAAATAGATCTCTTTTCTTCACTTTATGACRAAGTACTGAATGATAACAGCAATCAGAATGGAAAAGATAGCAAAAAGTGCAAGGATGACAGCAGCACACACTTGGTCGCTCTGTGACCATTGTGTCCTTGTGGTTTGCACAGTGTCCTTGTTGGTGCTTGCCGGTGGTTCAGTCCTCTGAGAGATGAATAGCACTGGGGTGCTGTAGGGGCCGACCAGGTCCTGGTGACCCGTGGCCTCTTGGCACTGGCGAATGGCACACACGCGGAATCGGTATTCACAGTTCAGCTGGAGGCCTGTGTATCGGAATGACCAGTCCGGGCCCTTATAAATCTGGCAATAAGGGGGGGGGGGGGAAAGGGATACATCACGTGAAAAAGTCCTATATACACACATGTATCTCAGTATGGTTTTGTTGATGGTGAAGCTAACTGTAAAAAGGATGACAACTCAATAGTGTTTTGACCCACACAAGGAAAAATGAATAGAAAGCTCAAACAAGCAATTTAAATACCAGATAAAGTCTCCAGTCCTTTCGGTGAAACATGAGAACTATGCGTGCTTTTGAGGAATGAAGTGTTTTACAMCAAATAAACTCTGTCATAAGCCCCAGTGCTCAGGTAGTGACTACTTACAATGGGATGCAACATACAGTATCGTATCATGGGATTTCAGGCAGTTCACTCTGTATCAAGCTAAATCATTAATGTAATCCAATGTACTTTGTCGTAGTTATTGTGTATTTAAAATATTATCATTAATCCCAATAAACACTGTATCAGGAGAGCCACAGAGCCCTCTCTGTGATTTTTTAATTTCATCATATTCCCAAGACAGAGATGGCTTATGAGGATATTCTACAAAGGTATCTCAGTTAGCTCGTTAACATGAATTCACAACTCTTCGGCATGGAGTGCCTAAGCCAGTGAAATATAAATTCTGGTTTCTTAAATTAATTAAATTTGTACCTATGTAAAGGCTCTGCGAAAGCCAACAAAACCTCATGAGGGTGCAGTTAAAGGTACATCAATGGGTACTGAGGTATTAGAGGGATAGCTTAGTGCAATCTGATTTATCCCTTTAAACTCCTTCACCCTCCCACCTCCAAATATCTTGATTTGTTTTATTTAACTGGTAGCACAGCACAGAAATATCACATCATCAGGAGCTTTCCCCACAGTTACCATATTGTTAGACAGTATTCTGAAAATGCAAACTAGAAATGTAAAGAAGCAGGAAATCCCTTCTGATTCTGCTGTTTGAAGAGCTCTTGCTGTGCCTGAGGCTATTCACAGAATTCTCTGACAGCCAGASAGCTGAGTTTTACTGGAATCTACAACCTAGAGACTTTTCTCTCTGAGGTAGGGCAGATCATTGGAAGTGCAGCTTCCTCAAAATTCTGCTAATTCGGATCATGCATTTGGGARTGAGCAAACAGGCCACTGACACACATTCTACTCCAGCTCCAGTTATGCCAGCTGGCAGGGGTTACCATCCTCAGCTGCTTGTCTCCAATGCCTTGCCAAAAGTTGCCTTCCCTTTCAATGTGCTTCCTGGGGTATGTATATGGTAGCTTCCCAACCCATTTAAGATCTTTGACTGATGTATACAGCTCATATAGCACATTATGAACTTATTTTGGCTGTARCATGGGGGGAGCAATGGCATGAGCAATTTGGATGATGGATCAGGGAGAAAGAGGAGAGGAAAATGAAGTTTTGGCAGCAAAATGGCTGGAAACAGTTTAGAGTAGACTTCCAGGCAGTTTATTTTCTGTTCATGTCAAACAAAATTGCCACTATCATGTCTAAGTGTCTTAAAGGCTGTTTTCATAATATTTACTCCTTGATTGTTCCAATTTTAGTTTTTGCAAATTAGTCTTTTTATTTAATTTTAATTTACTATTCTAGAATGTTCTGCAGAGGCAAAAGCAATCACACACCTCAGTCTACTTTGTTATTTCCATACTCAAAGAGCAAACTTTATTTTCGTGCCCAGCTCATTTGGCAATACACACTGATAATCAAAGCGTGATTTGACTCCATGTCTAAAAGCAACACAGACTATGCTTTACATACCTAATGTTGCACTTACAATGTTAAAGTTACAAAAAAGAATATTCACACRGCAAGATAACAAACGCCTCATCTTTTACTGAAAAATTTAACAAATGGGCATAACAAACACAGTGCTACACTAGAGGTTATGAAACTATTAAGGCCTAGAATCTATCAAAGCMCAGGCAAAACTTTTTTAATATTGAACTATAATAAAATTATAATGCACTAGAATTAACTGTTTCTGTTCTGGAAGGAAAGTTCCTTGGCTTAATAGTATAAAATACTTTTTAAGTCTAATTTCATGTCAAATATCAGACAGTTTATAGGGAAGCAAAATTAGCACTGAAATGCCAAGCTACAAATTATCCTCCATTCAAACTGCTTCTTTGCTCTTAGTGCAAAGAGAACCCTTTGCCCCTTTTCTCCCCAATCTGAATTCTGTACCATTAGCTAAAAGGTTTCTTTTTGTCAGTTGTTCCATTATGAGATGACTGCCTCACCACTTGGGGTGTCAAGCTGTATTTAGTGAACATCAGTGTAACCCAGAGAGGCTGAAATTCAGTGCAGAATCTCCTTTCTATGTGAGGATGGGTTTCGGAGATACTACCCTATAT